TCGGGCACCTCCCCCGTTTCCCACTTGTCTGTTCCTTTTCCAGGTGTCTGAGTTGGTCTCATTAAATATATTACTACACACTGTACTTCGATGAACTGGAATACTGAGAAGTATAGATAAGTTCACTTCAAGCAGATTAACTTTCTTTTCAGTAGCCTACTCTACAAGTGGAATACAAGCATTCAAGAGGGGAACTAACCAGAAATTACCATTACAGGAAGCTTCCTTTGTTGACGAGCCCTAAATTAGTGCAAAAGCATATTTCAACAGGTTTAACTGTCTATGCTAATCTTAAAACAATGCTCGTTCAGGCAGCAGCTTAAAGAGCCTGTACAAGGTATTTAGTGGCTGTAGTGATCCTGAGTATAATAATATTCAGAACAACCTACAGAACTGAAACCTACCTGAAGAATGCTCGAGTAGCCCATGCAGACACTTCTCTATCACATGCAGCATTGGAACAGGCCAAGATAAGGCAAGTGGCACAGGCCTGATCCTCCTAGAGCATATTATACTGTTAGTGTGGCAGCTTATATCGAGTTGATAAGAAATGTATAGAAGTTACATTGCTCAATGCTAAACAGTAAATACTTTTTGCATCATTTTATTTAGAAGACAAGGAAATAAGCTCTTCCCCATTACAGAGAGGAGTGAATTACGGTGAGGCATCCCACTGTAGCAGGAAAGTTTTTGTTATACACAGTGTTTGCAAACTCAGTACTATTACTGGTAGGAAACAATCTCCACGTATGTCACCTAATTATGGCCAAGATTCATGCAAATTCTAAAAAAATGTAGACTAAGATTGTGTTTGAAGAAAAAAATTCTATACAAATAATTGTTTGCATATTCTAATGGCATGTTAAAGTATCACTTAGTGTGTCCTATCAAACCACAACAGAATAGATTACAGTAAACACTCACTACAGTTACTAATAAGAACTAACCAAATTAAAATTGTAATACACCATGGCTTCCTTCCTGCTTATTTGCTATTTACCTTAAATAAAAAAATAGACCTATCATACACATTTCTACTGGCCTTCAAAACGTAAAAACCTCTTGTAGCAGTAGGACTTCAACTTTTTTGGAAATTCTTTGTCCCCTGCTCTTCTATGAACACCCTTCCTAAACTAAGAACTACATTATACCTCTGGGTACAAGACACGTAAGAATTTCAGAGAAAGTGAATTAAACTTCCATTTTTAGATATCACAAAATGATGTTATTCCTCATTATACAACCTTGCATTAAGTAGACAATACAGGAGGAAAAGCTAATAACTTTAATCAATAAATAAAATGTTAACTGGTTTATAGCAACAGCAAAATGATGCTAAAGAAAGGGATTAGATTTACATAAATATTATTAATCTTACGTTTTTCTTAACAGGTCAAACATTCTTACCTGATGCAACTTGAAAAATCTTTCAATGTCTTCTCCATCTCCACCTATATTGCTAACAAGCAGATGCCGCAGCTGATCGACAGGTCTGAATTTATGAAACATAAAGCTTCCCTGAAAGTAACCCAAAACAAGTTAGATTAAAGTTGTCTTTACTCTGGCCATCCCAACACCCCCTTCTCATACTGCTTATCTTCAGTATTCTGAAATTTTCCTTTGTTGCACTACTGTATAATACAATATGCCTAATACTGTACAATATAATGCAATACAATATAATGCAATACAATACGCCTAAAGCCCTGTTCTCATTCACATGCAGAATATTTTCTAGCAAGTCTAGGAATGGCAGGAAAAATACTGCAATGGCTATAAACTCTTCATAAATGAAGTTAATTTTGCTGTTCTTACCCTAACATATACCACAGAATACAAACATATAGCAAGCATATACACAAAAGCAAGGCTTTATGTATCTTGCAAATCCTCAAAACTGCATGGCAAAAAGGTACTCAGGATGAAGGGCATGCATGGTAAGACTCTACACAAAATCATCTTGCCTTCGTCCATACAAACCACTGGAGAGGGTCTGATTAGTGCCTTTAACAAAACATTAAACAAATGCAGGTTGACTCTAGAGGTTGCAAGACATTAATGATTAAACTTTTTTTTTTTAATTGCCTATTGGTTAAGATATTAAGTACCCTAAAATATGCCAAATGTATCAGAAAAGAGAAGTAGGGAACTTGATTTCTTCTTGTGAGTGCTGTTTTTTAAAACCCTTTCAAAAAAACATTTTGGGACTTCTTCTATAACAAAGAATAAATTATTTATTCAAATTTCAGTTACCAACAATATTTACTCAAACTATATTTTCTAGGCAGCCAGTGTCTGTTTCAACTTCATATAATAATGAACACAACCAAGTTTAAAAATAACTTCTCTAATGATCTGTATCTACAAGGGTCTTGGGAGACCAACAAAAGCTATTAATACACTGTACAAGAGAAAGTGGTCCAACTGCTTTGAGTAAATTTAAAATAGGTACAGATGGTTTCAGCAATCTTCTTCCTTATTCCCTTTATGTTCAGAATACAATCCTTAAAACATATCCAAAATGAATAAACATTTACAGCTTTAGATCAGTCTTCCAACTTTATACTTACTTTTCTGATTTCCTATAATAAGAAAAGTAATACTCACCTGGGCTGAAAGCAGAACAAACTTCTTAGGTGGCAGCGTGTGTTGCTGCACAACAACAGGTGAATCAGTTATTGGAATAAGGTCTTTGTTAAGTGGTGTTATGATCTTCTGAACTTTATAATCATCAATAGCAGAAAGAGCCCAGGAATGTCCATCAACACGGGTGGTCATCTGAACATCACATAGATATTTATTGAAAGTTTGGTAACAGACATGGATTTTGTACATGTATGGCGATACTTTACCATTTACTATTTAAATTACACAGAATAGTATCTCCTCCACACAAGAAAACCCAAAGAAAATAAGCAAGTTCTTGCATTGTCTAACAGAAAGTTATCACTAAATTTACAGATACACACACACACACACACACACACACACATATATATATATATATACTGCTGCTTTTGGGAGACAGGGAATAATATATAGCTTCTTTTGGGGGATAGGGATAGTGTTTTACATTTAAATGTAAAACATGGTAGTGAAGATATTCCAGGAAACTATGTATGCCAACAATGAAGAACTGCTGCTCAAGAACAAGCTGCAGTTTGGTCTGGGAAACCTAGCTGTCTGTTACTATCAAATACCTTGGAAAAAAGCGAGGGGTTAGCACTTCGGATATTTATGTGTAAATTTTTGCAGGGAAGGGATCTGGAGCAATTACAATGCTCCTTTGTAAGTTATTAAAACAGCAGATAAACCAAAACCTGACTTTGAAACTTTTTACTTATACACAGTCTCTCCATTCACTCCAACTCTGCCACTGCTCCTCCAATAATACTAGTTTTGACATCACTATTCTGCTTCAGTAGAAGACTTCATACTTCCTTCAGAGCTGGAATACATTAAATGTTCTCCCTGAACTGACACATAAGGCAACTAACCTTCTGCAAACCCCTCTTACAAACCCACTGATGTACCAACTAGGAAAACCAGAAAAAAAAAAAGACGAAATAATGAAGAGATGAATCATGTCTGAAATTTAATGAAGACATGGCATATCAAAGAAACCCAGAGTCTCTAGCACCTACATTTTAAACAATCTTTGCCAAATTTTATCCTCATCAAACACACACCACTATGGACTGTGGACGATGTCTTCTTGTGCTTGTGCACAGTATGCAGCATGCTACAGATAACGATATTTTCCAATACGTTAATTAGAAGTCTTAGAAGTCAAGTCAATTGTTTTTGATACATAGCTTGCATCAAGCTAGAAAGTATGGCTGAGCTAGGAATTCCTACTAAGACATCTGTTTCCATTCACTGACAAAAATTCATACTAATTTTTTTTTTCTTTGAAGCGTATTGATTAGTGGCTCTGCAAGCGTTTCCAAACTCCTCATGGAAGTTTTCTGTGAACTACCCATTTCTTGCAGACAGTATAATTCAAGTATCAGTTATAAGAAAGGAAAATGTAATATTTAGATTCCATCAAAACTGTATAAAAGTTTGCTTTAATACCTGTGTTTCCATCATTGGCTTTTGAAAAGGGAAAGAATCATGATTGATACACCACAGGATGTCATTATCCTCATTTTCTGAAGCTGCCATCAGCAGGACCCCTAGCAAGAACAGTGATCTTAAGTTTGTATTAGATGCAATAATCATGCACTAGATGCAAATTCATTCCTTATGCAGTAAAATTCTGTCTTTAAGTCCTAGTTATACAATTTGAACAGCAAATAATATCTCCTAGTTTCATATGTCATAGTGTTCTTCAAAAGGCCACTTTTAACACCATTTGCCATCTACTCTAAAAGGCACAACCAAAAATTGGCCTAAAATAGGTAGAACATGGCTCAAAAATGTGATGTTTAAACAGATCATGGATGAAAAAACATCCAGAAATGACTTCAAGGATAAAAATCAGTATGTATTACTAAAAGGGTCAGCAACATGGAAATATTTCCCTCATGCATTTCTGCAGCACTTTAAAAAATTCAGCCTACAGTCAGAAGTGACATCAAGCTGGAACCATCCAGCAGCTGTTTGGCATCTTATACGATATCAGTAGCTAAACGAGTTAAACAGTAAATAGTTAGCACACGCTAAACTCAGCATAAGAGGCACTGAATAGGTAAGAAGCCTATTCTATCCCCTGCTTTCAAGAACTAATCACACACGGCTAGAGACAGGTAGATGAATTTGAATACATTAAGTATTTTATGGGGAGATTTAAAGAAAAAAAAGTTGATCAACACAGGAACAGAGTTCTCTGCTCAAACACTGCACCTTGCAGAATGCCTAAATTCTGAAAAATATTACAACCTTCCACTTCCAAAAACGCTCCCATTAACACACAGAAGCCATGCTTAGTTCTCACTTTTTCTCACTGCTTCAAACTCCCCAATGCAAAAACAGTGTGACAGTGACTGTCACAAAAAAACCCCCAAAACACATCCTCATCTGAGACATGTTACACTGCTTACCTTTGCTATAAAGAGCTCTGTGAACCTTTGCGGGCTTCTCCACGTTAGAAGAAGCTGAAAAACCAGGTGGCAAACGGACATGAACCAAGGTTAACATGGAGGGACGAGCTGTTGGATGTTTAAATTGTGAGGTACTAAAATACAGTCGGACACCTGAAAAAAAGATAAAAAATAGGTCACAATTTTGCTGAATTGTGCAGATGCTATTTATGAGTTCACAAGGGGGGGAATTAGCATTGCTTTCCTACCTGCATGTGTGACTGCTAATAGCTGACAGTCTATAGATTCAGAATTTTCAATCACTGCTATTTGAACAATAGGCTTAAATACAGAACGATCTATTGTTCTAAAAAAAAGAACAAAAAAAACACACCAAAAAAACAAAACATACCTCAATCAAAAGAAATAAGCAAACAACATTCTTCAAAACTATAGCATGAAATTATTTGCCTTAAAGAAATTTGCCTCTTACATTATAATTGTCATAAATATACCTGGCAATGCTTCCAGCAGCAGAAACTATAGCATTTTGTGAAAGAGAAGTAACCCTGGTCATCCCTTGACCATCTTGTCCCAAATCATAAACCTGCAATTCAATAATACAGCTTAGTGACTTATGGTTGAATTAATTAATACAGCTTCACTTATCAAGCAGCAACTAAAGTATTTTTATTTCACCCTCCTGCTTCCACATAATTGAGTGGAAGACCAAAAGGCTACTCCTTCCTCAGAAGAAAGTATTCTAGGTCTTAAGAGCACACTTGTTACAAAAAGATAAACTGGAATAATATCCTCACATACCTACAGAGAATTCCCAGGTACTGAGGAAAACTTAAAAAGTTATATGCAAATTAGAAACATAGCCAACAGTCATTAGAAATTACATACTTGCAGCACTCCTTTTTCCGAGCGGGTGTATAAGATGTTTCGAGAGTTGTCAATGGCAATTTGAACTACAGGATCTGGCGAGGGGGATGAAAAAGGGAGAACCAGCAAGTCAACACTGCATTTGGTGAAAACAAATTTAAATAGAATATCTATAAAATTATTAATTTAAGTTAACAAAAACCGCAGGAGTCCCACACAGGACTAGTATCAGAAGTGATAAAAACAGCAATCAATTTCACGCAATTATTAGTAAAAGAAAGAAAAAAAAAAATGAGCAAACAATTGTACAATGATTTCAAATTAATTTTTCACTGAACAGTGAAACAGGAAAATTATTTACTTAAAGATTCTACTATTTGCAGTGGTCCCACTAAGCACGTATTAATTTTGCACTACGGAACACTAACCTTAGTCATGAATGTCAAACTTCCCAGGCTTTGGTATCTATATCCTGAACTAGACACACAAACAAGTGACCTGATTTTTATAATCATTAACCACTGCAAGCTTGATTGACAATAACTAAATGTTCTGAATGAGGAATCAACTCGGACTTCTTCCTAGTACTATTTAAAAGGTTACATTGAATTATTGGGTGCTTTACCATCAGTACTTACCATCCTCTGAGAATGTGAACTGTAGTAATGAAGGAATAAGAAAAGACAGCGCGCTCTTCGAATGATTGATTTTTCTACAGCGCTGGCTAAACCAGCCTGCTTCAGCCTACAGTTTAAAACAAACACACCATTGAGAGAAAACAACAAAATAAAAACTAAACTAGTAGTTATATTAAAAACGTCATTAATAGGACAAGTATGAATGCAAGTAAAAATCTAACTACACACTACTGATTTAATTGAAAATGTACTATTCAATTGAAAGAAATATGTGATCATTAAAAGGAAAATTTTACATAAAAAATGGTGCAGGATGCCACAATTTTAATTTTCTTTCTGAAGTTGACCAAAGCTGCATTGCTATTCCTCATATAATTACTACTTCTTCTAATGCATCAACACTAAGATATCAGAGCTATTGTGCAACCAAGCCACACAACATAATGATAATTATGGAAGAAAAAAAGACAGCAAACCTGACACATTTCAGAACTCTTAGTGCCTAGGTCCCACAACCATGAAAGAATGAAAAATGCTTGTGTGTAAAACCTATAGTCACCTGGTATGCTACTTCATATAAGCAGCCATCTTTTCCAGCCAAAAAGATACGCCCATTATCAGTGGATGTTATTGCCAGAATGTAAGTATTGTCAGTAGGAAGCGAATAGAGAGGGTCTGGTAGCAGCTGCATTCCGCCAGACATACTGTCATTGAGCGATCCAGCACCTTAAATAAGTAAATAAATTCTCTTTAGTCTTTAAGTTGTTCTAGTAAGTATTACAAGTCTGTGATAAGAAGCATTTCAGAAAACAGGAAAAATTATAGAAAATTTCATAATTACTAAACACATTCTGGAACAGCTGTTCTCCAAAGTGAACTGCAGAGAAACAAATCTTCTGTTTTTAAAAAAACTACAGTAAATCTTCTGTATAAGTTTCCAAGTAAGGAGATGCAATGTTTTTTATTTCTATACACTGCCATCTGTAAATTGTGATGTCTAAAACACAGATTTTTACTTTTTTCTCTTTCACATCAAGATAGTATAAAAAGACAACAAATAACTGTAATCCTCTCACTTTCTCCAAACAATTCTGTATTTTCTCTACTAATACATATGGCATAAGAAATGGTATCAGGTTCTCAATCTCCATGGTTTGAATACAAATGCCAACCAGTTTAATCAACCATATTCACCAGTTCCAAGATTCACGCAAATCTCTTCTCTCCCTCTCCAACATGCTGTTTAATTACGTGGAGTACCTGTTTCAAAAGCTTTTTCTGTTAAACAGGTGAATAATACCACTCAATGCTCCTATGGGAGTCCAGGATCCAGCAAGTGCACACCCTATAAAAATGATTTCCCCCTGTCACATGATATAAAAATCAGCAAGGTGCTTAGCACATGGTCTTGTTTTTCTTGTTTTTTATTTTTTAAATGGCTGCTAATAATATAGCCACGTATACTTGCTAATGTACAACTGAGAATGAAGGGAGAAGAGGATTACCTGCTTGTATATTAGCACAACTGAGTCCTAAAATCACAATATCCACGGGGGTAGCCAGAACAAGTAAGTGTCGTACATGAGGCTGGAAGATACCTGAGGAAGGAGGGAAAATAAAATTTTAGTTTGTAGCCAACCTCTCAGATCACGATGATGTATCCAATGCATTCACTGGAAAGACACACTGAGTGATTACAGGCAATAGTTACATTTAAGACCTAACGATCTGCTAAACTCTAGAATTAGAAAGGAGCATCAATCAACAGTTTGGCTTCCAGTTCATGAAATACAAGATCTTTAAAATGACATTTTCTTATAAATGTGCTTCTTTTAAATTCAATCCTATTGCCAATTCAACTTTGACTTCAATGTTATCTAAGCAGTAGCTACCAAAAGAACTGGTAGGGATAGAAACCAGGATCTCATGGAAATAATTTACACTCAGATGTGTAAATTTATAAACAGCACAAACGTTAAGAGTACAATGTGGCAGAAAAATGCAAGCTTATCAATATGAATGATTGTTAAACTACATATTATTTTTGGCTTGTAACTAATTTAATAATGTTTCTCAAAACCAAAAAAACCCCATGTGTCTTGTGTATACATATATACACACACAAACCACAGATTTTCACACATGCATATATAAAAAAAAAAACATATACAGAAGGTTCAGTAATTGCCTAATTCTAGTCACTGTCATATACCCTTACCTCCCTTTGGCTTTACAAGACCCACTGCAAGAATAGTTTCACTAAGGCCATCAAAATAAGCCAGATCTCCCCTGTCAACAAACAAGAAAAAAAACCAAACCTGCATAAAACTTGTCACATAGTACCACATAATAACAAAGTAAATAAAATCATATTCTGTATATTTAAAAATTATTCATAAACTTATTTTAACACTCTGGAGCCATCTACATCTTTTGCTTTGAAGGAAAGCAGGTCCAGCAGAATGCAATCACAGATAAGTTCCAGAGCAAAAATATCCAGGCAATCATTTGAGCTGAGTTTCAAACCTGAAACCAAAGGGCAGTACACTGTGACACATTGTAAATGTACGGATAGGAGCTACGTGAGCCACAATCTGAACTTTAATGTTCTTGAGGAAATGCAACAATATGTATAAAATAATTCTTACTAAAATAATTCCTACTATATAGGCAAATAAAGAAGCAAACCTGCAAATTATAAATATATCACTGCCACTTGAAAATATAATGAAATTATTTTCAGTGTTATGTATCCTTAATATAAGCTAGGCAGGAGAGCTTCAATCACAATACTTCAAGGTACTAATGCTGTATTACTGTTGTGGGAATGACGGGTCACTGACATGCATCAGAGTACTTACTAAATCTACTTAGAAAAGTTAGGCAATTAGTATTTTTTTTTTCTACTTTTTTAGCATAAGCAAAGCCCTACCATAATTACACCAGTAACTTCAGGATATTAGCTATGTCTAATCCTAATCAAATGCAGTTTCCTTTCTTTCATCTAAAAGATTTGGCAGCAACATTACTAACCCTTAAAAATCCTTAAATACTTACTATTCAAATGTTTTATTAAAACGTAGAAGGAATAAAGACAAATGGACAAACCATGCCTGACAAATTTAGTGGCCTTCTACGACAGGGCTAAAGCACTGTTGGATAAGGGAAGAGCAACTGACATCATCTACCTGGAATTGTGCAAAGCATTCGACACAGTCCCACATGACATTATTATCACCAAACTGGAGAGACATGGATTTGCCAGTTGGACCACTCAGTGGATAAGTAATTGTCTGGAAGGCTGCGCTCAGAGAGTTGTGGTCAGCAGCTCAAAGTCCAAGCGAAGACCAGTGATGAGTGGCGTTCATCAGAGGTCGGTACTTCGGTACTGGGACTGGTGTTGTTTAACATCTTTGTTTGAGAAATGGACAGTGAGATTGGGTGCACCCTCTGGAGCTCGAGACATGCTGGAGGGAAGGGATGCCATCCAGAGGGACCTTGACAGGCTTGAGAAGTGGTTCCATGCCAACCTCAGGAAGTTCAACAAGGCCAAATGCAAGGTCCTGCACACAGGCCGGGGCAATCCCAAGCACAAATACAGGCTGGTCAGAGAATGGCTTGAGAGCAGCCCTGAGGAGAAGGACTTCGGGGCGCTGGTTGATGAAAAGCTAAACATGAGCCGGCAGTGCACACTTGCAGCCCATAAAGCCAATCGTGTCCTAGGCTGCATCAAAAGAAGCATTAGCAGCAGGCTGAAGGAGGTGAATCTCCCTCTCTATTCCGCTCTCCTGAGACCCCACCTGGAGTATTGCATTCAGCTCTGGGGCCCCCAACATAAAAAAAGACATGGAGCTGTTGAAGCGAGTGCAGAGGAGGGCCATGAAGACTGGCAGAGGGCCGGAGCACCTCCCCTGTGAGGACAGGCTGAGAGAGTTGGGGTTGTTTAGCCTGGAGAAAAGAAGGCTCCGGGGAGACCTTCTAGCAGCCTTCCAGTACTTCAAGGGGGCCTAAAGTAGAGATGAGGAAGCACTCTTTACGAGGGAGTATAGTGATACAATGAGGGGTAACAGTTTTAAGTTGAAAGAGGGCAGATTTAGATTGGATATTATGAGGAAGTTTTTTACTGTGAGGGTGGTGAGACACTGGAACAGGTCGCCCAGAGAAGTTGGGAGGTGTTCAAAAGGCCACGTTGGATGAGGTTTTGAGCAACCTGGTCTAATGGAAAATGTCCTTGCCCATGGCAGGGAAGTCCGAACTAGACTACCTTTAATGTCCCTTCCAACCCTAACCATTTCATTATTCTGTTACCCTGATTCTATAAATCAAACTGAATAGCACAACTCTGTGCTACCAGTAAAAAATCTCTCATTACTGCAATTATTTAATTCTGGTATAATACCAACAAAATAACATCAGGAATGCATTCTCTACATACCCATCTTCATAGTTCCATATAAAAATGTCACTGTCTATGGTCAGCCAAGCTCTGCTGATTTCTGGAAATACTCCCATCATACAATTGCACTGCATATCTGAAGCACTGCTGATGTAAGGACTAAATGCATTTTGGCTAGCAAAGGTAAAATCCCCTCTAAATCATTTTAAAAAAAAATTACTTTACATACATTAGTACACAAACTATGTACCATAAACATTTAAAGTTCTTCATACAGAAAATAATTCCATCAGCAACTCTACACAAATGGACCTTGTTACCACTTGGAAGCTCATGAAGGGAGCATGAACAATATTGAAGTTCATTACTGGGAGTCTGACAGAAACATTGGGGAAGGAGATTATCGAAGAAAAAAGCTAATTTCTAATATTATGACTTACACAACCTAACACATTATTTTTGATAAGGATACGCCCAAACTGCTCCACTAGCTCTGGGGGAAGTGGGACTCTGCGGACTGAGCTGATCTCTGGAAGATTAGGTATTGACAGCAAACCTGGTCCTTGCAAAGGATAATCCATATCCGACATACCAGAAACAGTAGGACTACCTGCAATCAGACACAGCAAAAAAAGATTAGGCTTCTTATACAGAATGAGAAAATTACAAAAAAGGTTTATCCTCCCTTTTTCTTTCTTTACCTGATTGTTTCTTGATCTGTGAAATCCAAATTAGACTAATTGCATTTCCTATTTTACTTCATATGACTAATATAGGCCTTCAGACTATGCAGGAAAAATGCCTTGATACTGCAAAGACTTTAAGCATACAAATACTGCTATTCACAAGATATGCAGGAATGAAGAATTCTGTAGGAGCAGGACCATAAACAATAATTCTAAACCTCAAATCAGGCACTAGCAAAGAGATTTGCAAACAAAGTCTTGCAGTAACTCACTTCAGCCCCAGCCTACTCTTCACCGTATTTTTACTGTGATACTCTCCACCTCTTTCTTCATCGTATGGCCAGACAATAAACATGCCGTGTGAACAAGCCAGGAACACATTCCTTCACATAGAAAAGCTGACCTGTGCACCCAGTATTAAGTCAAAATTCCCACATGAACCCATTATTTTATGTGATGTGTATCCATGATGCTGCCAGGGCAGTTACACTTCGGCCACGCACATCACATTGGATCATAACAGAAAACAGATACTCTTTGCTTGTATGCTCACACCCATAGGATATATATTAATCAGATCACCTACAGCTCTGGAGTGCCTCTTCACAACCCACTTTGCCAGACAGTTGGCATCAAAGAAGTAGGAAATGCTGTCTTGATGTTTTAAGGAATACAAAACAAATTTTTGAAAAGAGGTATACATCATAACTACATGTGACACACAGCTGTAGACAAATGAAAGTCACTCAAAGAGGCTTAAGAGAGTTTTTCGGGCTGCCTGTAATTTAGGGATGGTGCTGGGCACTTAGTGACCCTAAGAGCATTCTGCAAGAGACTTCCTGACAGAATGAAAAACAAGCTCCATCTTCTTCACTTTCTGGAAACAGATGGAGCTGAGGATCCAACTCAAGCCCGTTCCTTCTGCAGCACTCCCCCGATCATGGGGAGATCCCACACCCAGAACTTTCATCGATGCACCAAAATGTCCACTACATCCTCCCCCCAGCCCGGCCCAAGCCTGCAAAGCCCTCGGACTCAGCCCTATAACCCTCCCTGAGAAGGCAGGGCAGCAG